CGATTGGGATGGAGCATCCGGTCAAACCAAAGTATTGTGCCAACCGGACCGGGGTAGCCGGCTAAAGCACAAGTGATGTGACCGGTTCGGGATAACCGATCGAGACACAAGTGGTGTCGGTGCAGGTGCAAGTGCAAGTGCAAGATATAAGATGCAAGTGCAACGTGCAAGTGCAAGGTGCAAGGTGCAAGAGCAGGTGCAGGGTGCAAGGTGCAAGGTTCAAGTGTCGGGTGCAAGGTGGTGCAAGGTGCAAGGTTCAAGTGAGGTGCAAGAGCAGGTGCAGGGTGCAAGGTGCAAGGTTCAAGTGTCGGGTGCAAGGTGCAAGGTGCAAGGTTCAAGTGTGGTATATGACACAGAATATGTAACAATGCAAGAAACACATATGCAAACAATGAGGTGCAAATTACCAAACATGATAACGAATCACGCTCGTACTAACGACCTCACCTAGGAAACATAAGGTTTAGACCCTTGGAAATGTGACATCGCCGTCTCTTGTTTTTGGTGAGGAAATGGGGGAGTTTCTCCTCGGATCTTCGAGGGGGAAACTCTCCACGGCGTTGCGAAATGTGTTAGCTATAAAGCTTCTCCCATTTTGCGAACTCCTCCAGACTTTGCAAAGCGAGTCAGCTACGAAGCTTCTCTCGCTTTGCCAAGTCCGACCCCCTAGCTTCCTTTGCCAAGTCTGACCCCCTAGCTTCTCCAAGTAAAGCTGGGGAAACCCAAAGCAAGGGGAGTGAGGGACTCCGACCCATCGGGACTTGTGCTAAGACTCACAACAAAAGGGAGACACTCGGCTCTACGAGGGGTGTTTGGTTACGCACAGAAAGTCCTAACCTAAAGGCTAGCTCCAGAAAATCGACGATCCATCACGTAGGCACGTCGTCGCGCCGACCTAAAGGCTAGCTCTAGAAAATCGACGATCCATCACGTAGGCACGTCGTCGCGCCGACCCATGCCTGGCGTACGCACCCCGTGTGGGCGATCGAACCCACACGCCTAGGCACCACTAAACCTAGGGCTAGCTAGGAGTTTAGGGAATCTCACCACCGCGACGGTTGCAGATGCGTTCTCTTTGCTTACGCCAAGCTCGCCAACGTCCGATTCATGCTCCGGTGTGTCTCGTAAAATGCGCACAGGACAAAAACAGTGTCAATAAAGGCAAGAGAGGAAGGGATCAGTGAGGTATGCGAAGTACCAAAAAAAAAAAAAAATTTGGGCATATAAACATATAAACATATAAACAAAGCATACCTTCGAGAAGATCGCTCAGGACTAAGCATGCCCAAATTTATCACGCAAGGAATCACAAAAGCATACCTACGAGAGGCCGACGGTTAGCGTCCTCCGGCGAGGCTTGTCGGTTGGATGGAGAGCGAGACGCGAAGGGGGAGATCATTTCGCGAAGAGGGGCGCCAGATTGGACAGGCGAAGTGGAGAGTGGGGATTCCCGGCGCGAGAAGGTGAGTCTGAAGCCGAGTGGTCGTCGGCAAAGACCGCCGGCGGCGGATTAGAGGCTGGGCGGCGGTTTCGCGCGAACGGGAGCGAGGTTTCGCCGTGGGTCGCGATCCACCGTGAGAGAGGAAGCAGACTTGCGTTATATATATATATAGCGGCAGGGGC